AATTGAAGATGGGAATAGTAAAGTTTTATTGCAGACCTATTTGTGATCATTCAAGATTCTGAGAAATATCTTTCGATATTACGCTACTTAGCGTCTTTTGGTGAGATAGACTAGAATATCTCACCACTTTTACTTTTCCCTCGGGTAACTTAAGGGCCGACAGGGGCTTCATATTTAACAGAGACCGGGCTACTGCACTCTCTAATATATCACAATCCTTAAATTGATGTTGTTAATTTTTTTTTTTAAGAATTGGAATTCATCCAATGACTTCTCCCGCCCGAGTGAGGCGAGACGGAGTGTCAGACTCTTACTGATTAAAAACCACTCCATTCCTACTTCTGCTTTGAACCGGAGCCCCGGTTACCTTACCCGTTAAGTTGTCCCCATATTGTAGTTAGTACCTATACTGGATATCATCTTAATAAGATATACATCGCTTCAATAACCAAGACCGTTTCTAACTGGTCCAATTCAAAATCATCTAATTCAACTCAAAATAAAATTGTAAGTACTTACGCTTAAAACCATTACTTCTACATCTACATATTAATTAATACATCTCTAAACGCGATCGTGTGGTTTCATCGGTCCAGTAAACGGCAGCTCTCTATGTGAATGGGCTGTCAAACCCAGAAACAAACGAACGCCGCAACATCCAATTTTCTAATCGACTTTCGCAGAACACATCTCTTTGCCTCCAATCGGCAGGCATCGTTTTAATTAACTCTATGTTCAAAGATCCGTTTATAGTAACGATTGCTTTTATGTTTATTTCTTCAAAAATAACAGAAAATTTTACGCCTTTCTTACTCTTAAGAGGAATGTAGCAGCTTTTGCCATCAGTAATCTTATACTTCTTATATAAAGCGGAAGAGTTTGTTTTTTTGTTTGTTTCTTTGAACGCGCTAATCTCCGAAACAACTGGTTGGAATTGAATAATTCTTTTTGTGTTGGATAGTCCAGTTATCGAGGAAGGCTATAGATAAAACATCACGCTATGACCTATAGGAGTTGAGCAGAGCGTGTGAAACCGCGCGGAAGTAGCTAGTGAATAATAAGAAACAGACTTTCCTGTTAAATACTACTTTTTTTAACATAATTTTATATATACTTATCGCAACCGGGACTTTTACTAAACTACGTCACAAAAAGACAGCGCATTTAATTATCAATAAATAAACAATTTCTACAATAATAAATAAGCGTCAGCGTCATTAATTTATCATCTTTATAGCACATCCGCGGATCTCAGTGTTAAATGTCAGAGGTTCATTGCAAACGCATAGCACTTTCTCGACGCCATTACGTGACGTCACTGCACCGTATGTCATAATATTGACCGACCCCGGAGTCAGTAGGTTATCCCGAGTACCCCCAGGATCGATGCACGACAGTGTACGCACCGCGTATCGTGTTTACAATTAAATTGCAATTAATTGTAATAATTTACTACATATTTAGTTATCAAAGAATTACTGCTGGGCTTTATAAAGATGCGATGTATTTCTATCACTTCTCGGAAAGGTCAGGAGATGTCTCGTGCCAAAAGGTTATCAACAGCCGGTTGTAAAACCTAATTAATCTTTAAGAGTACTTTTTTCAATAAAGTATTTTTCCTTAAGAAATATTCTGACATTTCTGTCATCTGTATCTTCCACAGCGTGTTCTGGGATTTTTCCAGATTACGAATTGTTGTTGTTTTAATTCGGGATCTCGTATCTATTTCTGGCCTCGATTTAAATGGAACTGATCGGTTGTAAATTGACAATTAAGGTCCCTTACTACCGGGAGTCTTAAATACAACTTATAGGTATAGAAGACGTTTTGTGATTACTCTTTTTCAAACTTCGGAAAATAAATAATTGCCTACATCATCATCTTTTTTTTAACGTGAACGTACTAATATAATTTTGATTTAAACTGTCAAACACCAAGCGGTCACCGGTGACCGCGACCTATTGTTCTTTAATTGTGTCTATAAAACCGGTACTCGACGAGTTAAAGCAAATAGTTTAGTAAGTTTGACCACATTTACAACTTCATAAACTTAATTAATTCGTACCGCAGAGCTGCTACATAAAATAAGACCCGGTGAACGGCCGCGGAAACAGTTGAATTTTTCATCTGTGCTTGGAGACTCGGACCAAGGCATGAGATGTTCAGCCAACGAGAATTAAGCCCCTTAATGTAATAATACCCAGTGACTACCTACTGCCCCCTAAAGCCGGCCATTACCCGAGCGAATTTGGCTCGTATGTAACTTTTAATTAGGAGACTTTGAACAAATCGTGTATTCCGTTTGTGCAAAAAGTAAATGTGGTTTTTGTAAGCTACATACTGTTATAAAGTTAATTAGTACAATGACATTACTTAAAGTTGGTATAAATAGACGGGTTTTCCGTGAAACCATTAATTAGCTAAACGAAAACACCTAGGTATAAAATTTTGTCATTCATTGTGAAAAGTTCTAAGATGCTTCTAATTATTCTCGTAATTTTAAGATTTTGTCTTTAACACCGAAAATTGTATGTTAATTTTCTTGTAAGATACTTATGAAGCGTTCCATTAGCGTCACGTAATAAAATAAGCGGAGGCGAGTGCATTTTAATAAAGATTGTCTTCATTTTCGGGTAATTTAATATGGCAATACTTATGTTGATTTTCATTTTCACATCAGGATTAATATTTCATACGAAATGAGACATTGTGAAACAGACCTTAAAACTTAGAAGTAAAAGTCGGAAGTGAGTTAGTAAACCAACGAATGTATTACGCTCTACTTGTCAATATTATCCTACGGATTGGTGATCATCTTGATTCAAAATATCAATATGTTTCCACGCCTCAGAAAACACGTAAACCCGCCTCCAGATTGTGGGACAATAATCTATAAACTCTATGACGATACACGCATAATCAGGGGCCCGGAAATCTAACAAAGGATCTAATCAACAATAGTGTATTATCCAAATGGATTTAGGCGTAGTATCAAAAATAGTGGTTGATGGAAAATAGCAGAAAAATGATTTAATTTCGTTCTTTTTCTGACATAACATCATCATGTCTTTTATCCTTGAAGGGTAAGGCAGAGGTGCACAATATTATGGCACTTAATACAACTGTACAAAAAAATAAATAACTGGTTCTACTGGAAAATATTTGAAAACACCCAGTAATCCTTTGCCCGATCCGGGAATCGAAACTGGGACCCCTTGCCCGGCAGTCGCACTTACGCCAACGAGGCAGTCTTCAATTCTTTTTCTAAGCAAGTAACAATATAAAAACTAACCATTAGTGGAAGGTTTAATTTCCATCAAAGAACGGTCTCGACGGTCGGCCCCAAGCCCGGTTGAAATGAATAATGCATGTACACAGAATGTAATACTCATTCGTGGCAACTGCCGGGAAAATGGACCAACCACAAAGTGCTACGAAATTGCCGACATTGTTCAAAACATGCTTTATTTAGTATTTTAGCACACGTATTGTTAATTATTCAAGAGACAATTAAACGTGAATACTTTCACATAATGATGGCTGTTCATGAAACGTGTCAGCGATTTGAACACGCGTAATTGTGATTAATGGGCAGCTTTATTTAATTTGAATTGTGGAACGGTGAAGGGTTGCCAACCTTTTGTCTTTGTTTTGCTTTAATTGAAAATTATATTTCTATATCATGATCGGTAATGGAGTTTATAATTGAAGTTTGTGTGCCCTTATTATACTGAAAGTCATGCTAGATATATTACAATTTGGTAGATAAAGTGATATTAAGTCTGATTTCGATCTAAAACTTTGATGGACTTAAAATACTTAAAAATAGTCTAAGTTCAATTAAAACTTAATGCAAAGCTTACAATTTTTTCGAATTAGTTGTAGCTTGCATAAGAAATTACTAACTTGAATAATTAATCACTAATTATGGTAACTATAAATCGCAATTTGTAGTTGGGAAATTACTTAAAACTTAAAGAGTACCTAAAGTTGATTTCGGGACTTATTTAATTCAATTAATGAGACGTAGAAGTACATTTTTTTGTTTAAGAAGGTAATTTGGATTTTAGTGATTTTTGTGAACATTTTCGCCTATCTATTTTGAATACCTTAGCTACTTTTACTAATGCTATATTTCAATTTACCTTTGTCTTAACACTAGTATAATTATAACCAGAGCTCGTTAGATCTCCTATTAATAGATTTTCCTATTTACCTATATCCCTTTGATGTGATTTATCAAACGGAATTCCGTTGGTATTCAGATAATTACGTATGGTACCTATTCGGTACCGCAAATTTTCGTAATTAAAATTTTGATTGAATGTATTGCAACCAAAATAAATTGTAATTAATATACTGAGTGGAAGCGTCTGTTGTTTCATTATTCATACTGTGTGAGTGATAATACTCGTATTGGATGACTAGTTAGTCAAATAGGCACCCATATTTTAGGTGACAGTGAGAACTAAACAAGATCCAATTACCTAATAGGATGCCTGACAATTTCACATTGACGTAGTCCACAATAACTGTGTCCAAAGTTTGGCTTACCTCCTATCTCTGTGAGAAGTCTCTTAACTGTGTTTTATAATAACTATCGTGAGACATACTAAATTAAGTAAAAATTAAGTATATTCACGTGAGTACTGAGAAAAGCTCTACTAGTTTCGAACCACAGAGGGGTTCTTCCTCATGAGCAGCGTGCGCGGTCGCGGCGACGTCGCGCAGCTCACTGTGAGCCCTCTGTGGTTCGAAACTAGTAGAGCTTTTCTCAGTATTTTTACGTGAGTAACCCGCGTTTTTACTTAAGTCTCTCAACTTATGTATTAACAGTTATAAAAAACAGGTAATACTTCACTAGTGGAGATTTGCCAATAATTGCCTCGATAGGAGCTTGATTGTTACCTTTATTTTTCTGTGAGATCGATGCCCATATTGTGAAAATGCAAAAACAAAGTTAAACTTTTTTTATTGAAGTCGTTTCTTTTCTCCAACAGACGATGACCTGGAGCTGTTGCTGGATGAAGTGGTGCGCGCGAGCAACCGCGGCGTGTCAGCTTCGAGGAACATCACTGGAGGACCGAACTGGAGTTTTGGACAGTCGCTGTTCTTCTCATCCACTGTTGTTACTACCATCGGTAAGTGTCGTATTGATCTATTATACCCGTATTCACTAACTTATCTTAAATTTTATGGAATCCCTAAGCAAAATAGGTGGCGTTTAACAACATTTTGGTTTTTTATTAACCTATATGTGACACCAAATAGTACAAGCAATTCTTAGGTAAGAGGTGGTTAGTGAAAATGACCTTAGACCTATATTGATAAGAGTTGTATTTAGTTTTTTTACACTGAAATTACAATAAAAATGCTTTTCCCGGTCTAAAATCGAACCGGTAGTATAGTTTCCAAGAGTTTGTGCTGTGCACGTTCAGAAAAATAACAACGACAGAATAAATCAAAATCAATATTTTAAATCACAAATCTCCTAGTCTATTCCAAATTCAAAGAAATGAAGCTGTTCGTCAGCGTGACTTGATAACTACAATCTAAAAACTACATTATTATCTTCTAAACATGCATTTTCTTTTTCCCTTCCAGGCTATGGCCACGTGACTCCCCTCTCGAAGCCTGGCAAGCTGTTCTGCATGATGTACGCGCTGCTCGGTATACCGCTGACGTTGGTGCTGCTCTCAGCCCTGGTGGAGCGCCTACTTCTACCAGCAACTGCCTTACTACGCTCTCTCAATGCTGCGCTCGGACATCTGTACCGACCCTTCACTATACGTCTAGTTCATCTTATGATTATTGGTAAGATTCGTATTTAACATTTTCTTTAATTTTTTTATTTAAAAGTGAACGCAAATCATCGGTATTTCATTTGAACTTAGGTATATAAACGTATAGTGAAAAATATCAACCAATTGTCCTAATTCCTATCGCAAGACATTATAAAATTAGTTAGTATTGATTTTAATGTTTTAGAAACGATTTTTTAAATTGAAAAACATAAGTTTTTATCGGGTTTGTGTTTTTATTGTATGTCTACTACATATCATAAAAAACAAATTTTGATTCTCATTTATCTTCAACAGTGACAACTCTCGTGCTATTCTTCCTGGTGGTACCAGCGTGTGTGTTCGCCTACGTCGAGCCTGACTGGGACTTCCTGGACTCGTTCTACTATTGCTTCATATCCCTCACTACCATCGGACTGGGCGACTACATCCCTGGCGATTCCCCCGGACAACCCTACCGACCTCTCTACAAAGTTGCTACCACTTGTAAGTTTTTTTTTAGATTGGCAACATTATTTTGTTAGGGACCGTTAACCCCTTCGCACTTAGGTAGGTAGTACTTACTTGTTGTAATACGCGCGTAGGATGAGAGCAAAACGAGTACCAAAGTTGGTACTTAAATTCAAACGACGTCATTATTGTCATTACGATTCTGAACGTTGTAGCGATATGTTTACGATACTTACCTACGTGAATAATGTAGACTGACTGACGATTGCCCTTCGTACGACAGATTACATAAGATAATCGTTTATTTAAATGCGATTAGCCTAGCCTTGAAGGTTACACAATTGTACAATATCAAATTCAATCTTGTGTAGTTATTTTAACATTTGACTTCTACTCTTCCAGTCTACCTTCTCATCGGCCTGACATTCCTGATGCTGACACTGACGGTGTTCTACGACATTCCGCAACTGAACCTAAGCACGGTGTTCTCATCTGTGAAGATGGACGATGACCCGGAGAAGATGAGGCTTAGCGGCTCTGGGGTAATGGGACCTGGGTATGGGATTGGTGGGCTGGTGATGCGGGATGACTATAATCACCACGACCAGCGCCGCTCCGTCGTCCATATCCGACCACACCTGGACGACAGCCCCAGTCCCGAGGACACCACGCCCGTACATGCCCGCGATATACGAGTACACTAAACAGAACTGCTTCCCCACAAAATCTCGGTCGTCATCTCGTTGGCTAGTTGGTGCTATTGGATGGAACAATGTGGAACGAACATTATTCAATCTCCCCCTACCCAAAATCTTCTTTTTATTTTTTCAAATAAAAACGAATTCGAACGTTGACACTCGTTCTACATTGTCGCTGGTCCGAAAAATAGCAGCCAGCGTTACTATTCGACGTTTGCTCATGTCAAAATTCCTTGAAGATGGAATGAAAATTTAAAAAATATGATGAACAGGCGCGGTAGTAGTTAAGTAGTTATCTTTACTGTAATTAAGTTAATTATAAGTTCGTTGTTTAATGTTTATTGTTAAGTTAATTGTCAAAAATTTAAATTGGTGTGACTATTACCTACCTATCTTATTTCGATCCCTGCGTCGACTACCGTCCTAAAATGCGTGTGTTTATTTTATTTTAGTCTTTAAAAAGAGAATGTTACATAATGTCTGCTGGTAAAAGCTGCGATAATAAGACTGAGAGGTTTTTCAAATTTTCAAACTTTTCTAATTCATTTTTAAGAGTTTTGTACTTACAAAATTGCGAACATACCTTGCGAACTGTAACGAAAAAAACGATGACGTAAACAATGTAGTATCTAAACAGACTGACTAACAACATGTCCTTCTATATGTATACGTTTTAAAATCCTAAATTATAAGAATTTTTCTAAATCCGTAATTATATCTATTTTCAAAATATAAAAAATCGACGGCATATCACTATCTTATTGAATGATAACGGTTCAGCAACTTTAAATATCCTTGCCATATCAAAAAAATGAAGACAAACCTCATCGTAACTACGCACCTTTGAGTTTTTTTTATATAAAGAAGGATCAACTATTGTAAAAATTCTCTATTGTCCCTGTCAAAATATTAAAATATCGTCATTACCTATACGTACTAATCGTATTACCTATGCTACCTAAATAAATATATAAAATATGCATAGATATAAAATTTGACGTATCAATTATGTGTGATAGATGACCAATAACTTAGTAGATTCATTGGATTTAAAATATGAAATATTTATATTATTATAATATCTATAGATATTAAAAAAAAAACAATCTATATTAACTCTCAACATAAAATGTTCTCGGAAAAATAAATAAATTTTATTATCTAGGATGGTAGTGCAAAAAATTTAATTATAATTATTGTAAAATCAATACTTATTCAAAATTATAAGTGTTTAGATTTGTGTATTAAATATTCTAGTTTAGTGAATGTTGCAACATAGAAAAATGTTTCATTGCTATTAGTGGTCCACACTTTTTACTTTTTTTACTTCTAAAGAACTGTGTTTTTCTCAATTTTATCATTTTGAGTCTATACTTGCTTTATATTTAAAGTTATTTTAAAATTTTTGAATCGAATTGCAATCAATGACAATATAATCAAACTTATGAAAGATTAAAATATAAATACATAGTTATGTACCAATATAATAGGTCATACTAAATTATTTTGCTACTCCAAATAGTTCACTATTTACCTTTATTTCTCCCGCGTACGAAATTCTAAATCTAAATCATTTATAAAATTTATTTTGAAGAAAATTATTTACAGGGAGCCTTTAGCACTACATCACTTAGAAAATATATACTATCTAATATTATACAAAGTATCAAACAGAATATTGTATTGATTGTTAGAATAATACCTATATTATAACTAAGTAACTGTGACACTAATCATGTTATTGTACTCTGTGTTCGTAAAACTTCATAACAACTGTATCAGATCTTATAGGAAATAGAGAGTAGTTTGTAGAAATAAACACAAAATGCCTTCAATGGATAACCGCATATAGAACACAACTGTATCAATTCGTAAATAAATCTGCTTGAAAAAAGTAATATTATTGTTTGATTTTTGTCTTTGACTTTTGTCTGAACCCAACAACACTCAAAAATCGACCCAGGACCCTGGAAGTCCTGGAACCCAGTACAATAGGCAGGTGCATAAAGTAGGTGCTTGAGCAGTAAACAATTTGTAGGAGTTCTCGACGATCTTACGTCACGCGGCAGTAGGATACAAAGGGGTCACTTAGGATGCAAGCCCAAAAATATTAAAATAAATTATTATGTTTTCGGCTTACTCGCGTAATAATTTGACGAGGAACTCGACTAGTTTCAAGCCATGCTAGAGGCTCATATTCATGAGCAGCATTTCGCGACCCGCGACGCGGCGACTGTCGCGCTGCTACTGGCTACTCGAGTCTGCGGGCCCAGCGCGCCCTCTGCCGTGATTCACGCGCACTTTCTTCCATTCGTTGTCCCGTCTAGTACAGGTTGCATGGAAGCTGGGCAACGTGCAGCCTGTGCCCAAAAAAGGAATTCGTGCCGACACTAATAATATTACCGCCTTATCTCGGTCACGTCCACTCTCTGCAAGAGTATGGAATGGAACGTGTACTGTAACAATAGATTCCTGGCATAACTTGAAGGTAACGATCACTTCAGTGGTCGGGAATACGGTTTTCCATGTAACCGATCTACTGGGGACCTTCTTGTGTATGCCACTCACATTTGGTGTGAGGCCATGGCAGCGGCAGGAGGAGACATTAGCAGTCTCCCTCGATATTTCGAAGGCCTTTGACAGGGTATGACACGACAGTCTTATCGGTTAGCTTACTACATAATTATGTACTTCCTGCTGATCTGTGCAGATAGCAGACTTCCTGAGGAATCTGTCTATACGAGTAGTCATCGATGGTTGCTCGTCTGACCAACTCGGTATTAACGGTATTAACTCGGTATTAACGCCGTAGTATTGTGCGTACTGCCAGAGTACTGCCCTTGAGGGTGTCAGTACTTTCAGCGACGCTCTTTTTGCGGCGCATAAACGACCTGCTTAAGCCCGGTATCTTTGGGTATGCGATCAATGATAGCACAGTTATTGAAAGGTATGAGTCTGATGCGCGAACTAGCAGAACACAAATCCATGATCTGTGTTTCAATAGACAGGAACACAGACTCTGAGAGAATCCATGGTCGAACGTTTGATCTCGACCTTGAAGGCGGTCTTCGACTAGGGTGACGATAATCTGATCAATTTCGACGCTAGCAAAACCCAGGCGTGTCTATTCTCCTCCAAACGGGGGCAATTTCAACTGACTGCTATTTTCCGGAATGTATCCGTTCCGATTACTGATTATCGTGAGCTTCTTGGCGTAACTCTGACGCCCACGCTCAATTTTGGCTCCTATATATAATCGAAAAGCGCAACTGGCTGGTAGGCAGTTGGGAGTCCTACGGAGGGTGAGACGGTACTTCACGCCGAAACAATTGCTGAGCCTGTACCAAGCACAGGTTCGTGTATGGAGTACTGTTCTCATCTTTGGAACGGCTCGGCTAAATATCAGCTGAACGCGCTAGAGCACATCGAGATGTGTGTCAAGAGGCTGATCAACGATGACGCTTGTGAAAGCCCGGCTTCAAAGCCTCGAACACAGGCGTAATTGCACAACTTGATTCCCCGTAGTCCTTTCCATGATTGCACCACAAGACAATCGGCGAAACGTCGCCGATTCATGCTAGATGTCCCACCCACACACATGAAGTGCTTCGCACCAAGCTTCCTTGTGCGTAGGGACTGCTAAGATTCTTTGCCAGAGTCTGTGTTTCTTGAAGGGTTTTGTCTTCAAGGTCCGAGCGAATAGGTTGCTTATGGGTCGATGTGCGAGATAGCAGTCAAACATCAGCCCATCAAATAAAAATAAATATTTGATGTTAATATTTTTTTAAGAAAAGGATAATTATTTATGACTGGTTTGCTTCAAAATCTTGCAATTAATATTATTTTATAAGGCTTATTATTATAGTAGGTACCTACACCTCCATAAAACCCATAGTGATCATCATCATCATTTCAGCTCAGGTTCATCCATCATACTTCTCGGTTTTATTCCCCTACCATCTGTTTCCAGAGACTTTTTTGCAAAATTTGCATAAAATGAAACGTTCAATTCAAAACGTCAATAACATAACCTCAATGTTTCGTATTGATTGACTTTACATGCAGGCCGGGCAACTAGCTATATAAGTATAATTATGAAAATGGTGTAACTACCTGCATTATAGTGTGTACTTAACCAGTGTTTTTCTAAAGACAATCGCTGTGTGTTCTTAGTTAGAATAGTTCCTGAAGACTTATAAACCTGTTGCGGGAAATAACCATCACGTGTACGATTACCTTATTTATTTAAAATTAAAAATGGATTCTCCAGTATCTGCCTTCGCTATGTATAAAGCGAATACTTCTTCGAACAAAGCAAAGAAACAAAAGAAAAGGAACAAATCAGGGACACAAGTTCAACCAATTTCTCCGAAACCTTTACCACCACACCTAACTAATGAGAAAAGACAGATGGAACTCGCACAAAAACTTAAAAAGAAACAAAAAAAATCCAAAGATCTTAAAAGCATCACGAAGAAGAAGCTGCATAAGAAGAAGAAAAATCGGGATGATAAGAAACCAAACTCCAAAGTAAGGAAAGAAGTGCTGAACCAAAGCAGTGCTCCGAGTGAGCAGGATGATGAACCACCCGTACTTCTTATGAGGCCGGTCACTGAAACAACAGCTAAACCTGAAGAAAGTTCCTCAGATGAAGTGGAAGTTATCGATAATACAGGTGAAGAACAATTTGAAGAGTTCAAACCAGTACAGACAGACAGTGTGGAAGAAGGACTAAAAGTATTCCAGTGGATGATTGCACCCTATGACACTGATGAATTCTTCAACAATATTTGGGAGAAAAAGCCATTACACATAGCCAGAGGAAAGTCCAATTACTACAAAGACATATTGACCACACCAGCTATAGATGACATGATGCGCAATGAACACATACAGTTCACTAAAAATATAGACATTACTTCCTACATTGACGGAAAAAGAGAAACGCACAATCCAGAAGGGCGGGCTCATCCACACTTGGTGTGGGACTTCTACTTAAATGGATGTAGTATTAGATTACTCAATCCACAAACTTATATTTCTAAGTTACATTTGATTAATGCGACTATGCAGGAGTTTTTCAACTCCTTCGTTGGAGCCAATGCGTACCTTACACCACCTGATAGCCAAGGGTTTGCACCACATTATGATGATATAGAAGCATTCATATTACAAACAGAAGGTAAAAAGCATTGGAGGATTTACAAACCGTTAAATGAAAATGAGATCCTCCCTCGTGTTTCTTCCAAAAACTATGATCAGGAAGAAATAGGTAAACCAATAATGGAAGTAACTTTAGAAGCAGGAGACATGCTTTACTTCCCCCGTGGTTACATCCACCAGGGAGTCACAATAGAGGGTGAACATTCTCTCCATGTTACAATCAGTATGTATCAGAAACATTCTTGGGGAGATTTGATGGAGATAATAATGCCAGCTGCACTGCAAACGGCGATTAATGAAAATATTGACCTGAGGAGAGGCCTTCCGTTTGACATCTATGATCACTTTGGTCTAGTCCACTCAGATTCAAAGACACCTCGGAGACAAGAAATAACTAAAGTGATATTGAGTCTTTTTGAGAAAGTTAAGAAATGTTTGCCAATTGATGATGCAGTAGATCAGATGCATACTAATTATCTGCGTGCTGCACTACCACCCGTGCTGAATGACCCAGAGATGCTGGTGACAGTGTTTGGAGATACTGATGTGATGATAGAGAATGGTGTGGTTACAAAGAGAGTGGAAATTAGTCCAGACACAAGGATAAGATTGCTACGTAAGAATATTATTAGAATGGTGATGGAAGATAAAATTAAAATATACTATAGTGTAGAAAACTCTTTAGAATACCATGGAAATGAGTTGCCTTACGTTGAACTGGAGGATGAAATGGCTCCAGCAATAGAAGCTTTGATAGCTGCATATCCAGATTATATTACTGTGGAAAGTCTAGACTTGCCTTCTGAACCCGATAAGCTTAGTCTAGCTGATGCGCTGTGGAGTAGAGGAATAATTATGACTGAATATCCAATGGAAGAAGTAGAAGATTAAATAAAATGTACCTGTAAATGATTATGTTTCTGTTTTGTTTTATTTTTATCATACTAAAACTGTGTAATCCGTTGATTATAATAAGTAGTAGTGCTGCAATTTATTCCATATTTTTAATAAATTTCAAATTATGATGTATAAGATAAGTTTAATCAGTCTAGCAGTTGTGTAGTTATGAAAATCTCATGGAATCCAAATAGTATTAGATTGTGATTGCAATAAAACACTCAGTTTTCTTAAATCATTATATTTATTTTAAATTGCATATAAATTTGTGGACTTTCTGTTACAATAGTACTCTCGAACTGATATCTTTTTTGTATAAAACGCTAAAATTATGTTTTACAACTATTGTACCAGAGTGCCATGACAATGTCGCAAACATTCGTTCCACTCAAGTAGGTACACGTTATAAACAGAAAATACACACACAATAATTTATACTCTAAGCTTATTCTTTTCTCTTCAAGAAATTAACCTATTTAAAAATACCACCTAAAATTTAGGTACTTAAGATTTCCTAATGTTCACACACACTCTCACGCTCTCGACGAGCACTGTTATTGATAACAACGTAAGGGTAAAATGGAAAACAATTTAACAAAATATATATGAGGACATCACCACTAGTGTATAAACAATCTTAATTGGGTAAGTAACTAAAGTAGAATCGGTTCCAACCTGTGTACTATCGTGTCAACGTGTCGATGAACTAGTCTCCAGCAAGCTAAGTACTTGGGGCTGCCGACCGAGCGACTGAGCGAGCGAGCGAGCGACCTACATGACAACTGTTGTGACTGCTAAATATATTTCATTTATCTACTAGCTAGACACTTTAGTTCCTCTTGTACAGGCAGTGATTAATTTAAAACATTTGGTATACGACTGTACATGTTACAATCTGAATCACAATTTCTCAATGAATGGCTTGGTCCAAACAGTAAATCATAGAACTAGAACGAAGATATTTTTCAAATTTCTTCTACATGACGAGTTCGAAACATGTGACAGGTTAGTTCCCAGTTCCCACAAACCGCGACAGGACACTTTCTATATCTTAATTCAAAAATAAACACTGATCATATCAAAATATATTTTTATGTGAAGCAAAACGTCCAATGATAAAACATTATCTGATAAATTTTAAATTCTTTTGTACTGATATACAAGATTTTCGACGCAATACCTAATTCAATTCTACGCAAACTTTAGAATTTTTAGCCTAATCTTATTTAATAAAAAGAAACTTCTAAATCTATTGCCTAATTGTCGAGGCGGACCGCCTCCGCGTCTCATCAACCGCAACCTGGTTAGGGATTAACTACATTTACACGCATCGTCCTATTATATAGTTTTCAAAACATCGTCTTCGTAACGCGCAAAGTCACTGAAAATTAAAATATAAACGTTCATTACATTTGTAACACTATTTTTTGTAGAAAATAAAACAGAAATCAAACATAATTGTTTATGGCATAAAATTAAAGAAAAAAAGAAATTACAACAGTAAGGAAATATACTTTTAAGTTTCGAATCTCATTTTTCTCATAAAATAGTGACTTTCCGCTGTACGGAGAAATGGTACGTAATATTAGCTATTGCTTGGCTATGCTAATACAAACTGTACAACGACAACAATAGTGTAATATAATATTCTGTCAATATGTCATAATGTTAAAAGTTTAGTATAATAATTTGAAAATGGAATACTTACGCCCAAATACAAAAAGGCTACTCAATTTTAACTTGTCCTTAAATATTGAGCGATCTCTGTCATTTTACAAAGAATTTGTAGTAACAGAATAATACATAAGCGCGACTTAAAATCGAGTGACATTTGAGTATTTGGACATCAAACTGCGAACATTAAATGTAGCTATCCCCTAGAAATGACGTTGTTAACATTTCCTTAAATGTAAATATTTACAAAGAACGAAGTTTCTTACATTTAGTAGTTAGTTCGCGTTAGTAAAACTATATTAACCTGTTAATTCGCTCTCCACTCTCCTTATCATATACCGTACAATATCAATACATTGTGATGTCGACTGTCACTATTACTCTATCGCCATCTTACACTACACGATCAACTCTTATAATTCATCTAAAATTTGAATTAATATAAAAATCCTTTCTTTTAAAATGCCCTAAATATATCGAATTCCGAGGTAGAACATTATTCTATATCTAATCTCTCAAAATCAGCAAAATATTGCTATGAAAACATTCATTATTTTGTCAATTCGAAAACGCCATAATATGCGAGTCCATATTCATGTAGTGTAAGTTCGCACAAAATTCCATTATTGCTTCAGGTTTCAAACATCAGAAAGTTTTCATATAAAACAAGTTAGATATATTATAACCCAACATGGCAACACAGACTGGGTTCTTACATAAAATGTTCCTATTTTTAAACACATTCAACATCAATTTCCCGCCAAATATGACGGACACCGTCGCGGTGTGACCACATCAAAATTAATTTCGTTGCTACAAAAATTTCAGAACCCAAAACATTGCGCTTTATTTAAAATCTTATAACCAAGTAACTTATCAATAGATGTATTGAAAGCAAAAATACACAAATTGTGCTATTTGTTATAACAATGTACTTCATTTCATAATATAAAGAAATATGTTTAGTAAGTAAATATCATACCAGATTCCAGCAAAATGTAAAATTACAATAAACCATGATCATGCGGACAGAAGTGATCCACAATAAATATATCTAATAAAAGATACAACTCATTCTCGCTGGAAATGGAAGTTGGGAAATGAATTAAGTTTATACATTCATTGCATTATGCATTGTTAATAAATTGACAATTATTTATTTATATTTTAATTAATAAAAGAGACAAAAAACTGTCTCTGTAGTTTTCTTTTGCACCTCCCTAGTTCACTAAGCATTGCTTATTTAACAGAAGAAGACTGATTGGTGGATTTTCCGCTGCCAACCCAGTCATCTGTTATATAATATTAATAATGTTAACGAACATTAAATAAAAACTCTAATGTCCAACTAACCCACTAACCAAATTCCAAATCGAGCGTAACAAAATAAGAACAGACCATCCATTATCCAATCCTTGACGAATTCCAAATATCGGCCCGGGGAACCTAATATTAACGTTAAGACACTTAACAGTACATAACATACGTACTTGGTCATAGAGTTCGTTCATTATAGAACTGTCGGCACACGACTGTGGTACACAAGTATTATTTCTTCGCGGGCGGTTTCCTCGGCGTGCGGGTGGTCTTACCCGTCGATGTGGACGGCGTCGGGACTATCGGCGACGCTTTCGCTTCTGTAATAGATGATACTAGAATTATATAGGGTGTAAGTATGATTTACTCGCTGCCAAAATCGATAACAGAAATGTATCTTAATTCAAAGATTTTATATTGACTTTGGTTATCAATTCCGGTCGTCAAAAGTACAAAAATTGACTTTAATGTGTATCAAAACTGCTACTGCAAATATTTTATTTATTTATTTATAATTTCATATACCTACACCACACAGACAATATTACAAAGGACGACACATTACAACTTTAGATATTTATATTTATAATGAATAATGATTTGTTGATGACTATGTCTTACCTCAGAATAAATGGATTTTGTAACGTAACACTTAAGCAAACATGATAATTTTCTCACTTCACAAATAACTACATTATAACTAAAGGTTACCTTTACCGGCTGCTCTCCTGCCTTTGCGCGTGGGTGTGGCGACCGGAGTCTCCACTTTCTGTTTGGCTGGCGTCCGCTTGGCTGGTGTACTCTTCGCTTTAGACTTCTCACTCACTGCTGTAGCAGTCTGATGATATTCAAAACATTAGTATTAAGAAAATATGTCAAAGACGGGAGGGAATTCATTTATTAATTTTTATAACTTAATTTTCATTAAAACATTTAAGTATGTACTAATATTGATTATAATCAGTTCCAGTTAATAAATATGTAATTAAATTTTAAACATAATATACAGAATTAATTCCATGCAACACGCGCATGCTAATAAATTGAAAAATTGCAAATTATAGAAGAAAACAGGCTAAAAAGTTGAGGAAATAAAATTATAATAACATAAAAATAATTTTGAACACAAAAGCAAGCGATGAAATGAATGAATATGAATGTATAATGATAATTATATATATAACTAAGAAGTTTATTTCGTTTTTAATCTTTTATAAGGAAATACTACAATTTTGAGACTAATGCATGCTTATCCAATTTTCTTTCTATAATTTTCTAACTGCAGGATAGTTTTAATGTAATATAAGAGAGATAAATAACAAGCTGTATATATATCACCTTCCTTTGTCATTCAAAATCTCTTTCTAAAGATATCTTAATCATTAGCACCCAGTACACCGAGACTTATAATTTTACAAGTAATTTTTATAACTATTTACAAGGTGTTACAGAAGGCAAACATAATCAAGGATTTTTTTTAAGGGGGGAAATCATCGAATGACTGCTCCCGCCTGGATGAGGCGGGAGGGAGTGTCAGACTTTTACTGACTAAAAACCACCCCGTGCCTTCGAGCACTTCGAGCCGGAGCCCCGGTTACCCGTTAGGTTCTCCGCGACTCCGAATCGGCATCGGCCCTGTTGGGCCCTATCTGTGGTGGTCTGATGGCTTTTTGAGGCGCGCGTGGAAAGCGACGCGCCGTACGCTCGTTTCTGGTCCGACGGGGAGCCACCCATGCTCGCCGTCCGCAGGCCCGTGCTTATGGTGGCCGGAGATCGCCACTACACTACGCTACGGAAGCTACACGCCTGTGTAGCCTTACGCCTGGCTGTAAGGCTATACGCCTGTGTAGCCTTTCGCCTGTCTGTAAGGCTATACGCCTGTGTAGCCTTTCGCCTGGCTGTAAGGCGTGATGTTTCACGCCTTTTATACGCCCCAAGGAGAAGGCAGAGGTGCACATTACGGCACGTAATGCCACTGGACAATGTAACACCAACTTTTCACTATTATATTTATATTTTTACGAGTCCCATGTAATAGCCAATAGGAGGTGAGCCTATTGACATATACCGGGCACAACTCCAGAGTGGTACTACTGAGAATTAAAAAAAAACAGTAATAAGTGAGTTTTAGGAATGTTTTGAACGGATTTTGTGTTCATTTACTTGATATAAAGAGCAAGTTCGCAATATTTTCTGACTTAAGTATAGAGCTAAGCTATAGAGATTCCGTAACACCCTGCATTGTTTAATTGTCTCCTTACACACTAAAAACCATGCAATCACCAAACACCTCATTAGAAGATTCACCTTTCAGTAAGTCAGCATTTATAATCTATGTTAATCTATGATAATTATAAAAGTGTACTATAAATACTATAATAATATCATACAACTTTTGTTAAGAAATTCAAAATAATTGGATTATTTATATTGACTTAGTTAAACTATTTTCTATAATTTATTTGATTTAAATTGTCAAAGAGGTTGCGTAAACTTCAACCTCTTACGTCTAGTAAAATCGAATTTATAGTTATATTTTCAATTTGTATGAAAACCTTTTTGAAAACCTCATTTTAATTAACACGTTAAACGCCATGGGGGTCACCGGTGACCGGCGTTAGCGGAGGATTTACATTCAACAGTTTTTTATTGACATTCAGTCTTAAAATGCATAGACAGATTTTATATTAACTCTTAGATATCCTATATTTAAATGACTAGATAGTTTTTAATGGGCCTGAGTGCATGGAATGACATAATATGAATAACGAAAATAAATTAATACCTTTACCCAAATAATGCTGACCATTGTACACTGTAATTATAACTTGCATCATACAATATCCCATAGTTGATCTGTCAAAGTTATTGGAATACATATTCCACCTTTTTTAAAGTCAGTTAATTAAGTAAAAAAAGTTCTATTTTGTTGTAAGGACTGTAATTTAAAATGTAAATATTGTAACAAGCAATGGGGAATTTCTATTAAAAATTTTATGATTAAATTTGATTCATAATATTATTGACTCATGTTTAACTTACATGCCTATACCATATGAGACAGGCGTGAGGTTGTGTAACTATGTACGTTAAGTTAAAAAGATCTTTATGCTCATAAAAATAGGGTACACAACATTTAACCGCTTGAATGCACCGATATGAGATACAATAGAAAATAAATTGTGTCTCGCGTGGATCCACGTTTAGACACACGACGGGTTAAAATTGATTTTCTGATTATAAGAAACTATTCAACTCAGCTTCACCTCTTTACCAACAACTTTGACAAATACAATTCTATGGCGAATAAAGTAGACATTATTAACGCATGCATATTATAATAACCGATAAAAAATATACTCCATCAATATCTCCGAAATCTCCAATTTAACACAACTCTGTCTAACTAATACTTTCTTAACACAACACATACTGTGCAGTCTGCTGGGGTGTGAGCAAATATGCTAACTTTATATTCATATTTCATATAATTATAGCATACCTTTACATAAGACTTTAAAATGAGCTATATTAGTTACCAAAGTGATACTAGATAGTTTCAAGTGTCTTTTTAGTATAATTTAGTTAGAATCTGACCCCAACAGACATGTCGGCGTCTCGCTCGCACGCACGCAGTGTGAGCGAGAGCGACGCACACCACGGCACTCTTACTCACTCTCGAACATGAATGTAAATGACTGGTGATTGCGGATACGTACATTTCTATATATCCGTTGTACTATGCCTACCTTGCTAGTGCTCGCCACAGTGGGCGTACTACCTGACGATTTTCTCTTATTGTTTGTTTGTGTTTTTGTTTGTGCTTTTGTTTTGCGAGCGCTTTTTGGACTGCGCTTTGGCGTTGTCCGCGCGCGTTTCACGGGCGTCGCCGAGTCCTGGAACAACGGAACAATGATAAGAACTTAACAAATAATGTTTAGAAGTCTACAATAAAGTGTTTAATAACAAACGTGTTATGTGTGTATATCTTCTATACTCATGTAGGAAAACGTAGATTTAATTAAATATGAATACACTTAGCACTACATCGTGTTTCTTTATGAGAACCACTACAAGTAGCATTCCTTACCAGGTGCAGAATTATCCAACCTAGATGTATCATTTTTTACTTTTTTAAAAATAAAACGATGCCCCACACTAGGATTTTCTCCTGTGTCGTGGGTGCATTTACAAACATACGAAGTTCACATACACATGACACCCAGACCCGAAACAACAATTTGTGGGTCACACAAAGAATTGCTCCGTGCGGGGGATCTAACCGGCACGTTGCGCGGCAGCAGGGCCTCTAGCCAAAAGCCACTTTAGCGCTTGTCTACAGTGAGAGTAGAAATCAAAATGTATGGGGATGACACTGACAAGTGTCAAAATTTACGTCAATTCCATATAATTTGGTTTTCTACTCTACATGTAGACAAGCGCTAAATGGCATTTGGCTACAGCTGCTGGTTACCCAGCGACCGCGACAACCGTGCAGTCAAATCTATAACATAAATAATCTCTCAAGGAAATGATTCTCACCTCTGTATCATTAGAGTTGTCGTGTTTGGCTCTCGGCGATGATTTCGAACTGTTGCGTTTACGGCCCTTCTTCTCTAGTTGCGATTCATCTTTGTATAATGAGAGGTCCACTGTAAATATTGTACATTTTATTTCATCAAGATACATCGATTGTCATAAACATCTATGACAGTCGTTACAGCTATTCGGAAGGTTTAAAATCTTATAATGTCAAGTTAACCCCTCGAGCGTCCTTATGAGCACCCGGTGGATCATAAGAAAAAATGCTCCATGCTGCTTTCTCTTTTATAAAATCTATTATTAATGTTTTGTTTTTATTTTGACTGTATTTTTATTTCTATTGTAATAATCCTTGTTTTCGTGTGCCAAATAAATGCATTTTCTTTCTTTATTTCTTTCTTTCTCCAAATGTCACGTGTGCACCCGTTGGATCATAAGGAACGCGGACGCTCGACGGGTGAAGAATGTTACATTACCCTTAGAAGGCTCTAGAAACAATAAAAATTACAAGCTATAGCTGCTATATATGCTATAGAGGGCAGATCACAAACAGTTTAACAATATGTAGAGGATTTGCGTTCTGTGTACATTAAAACAGAACGGCTAATTTCAATGACCATAACCTATCTATCTGTGGATTTACGTATTTTCGATGTAAACTGTACAGAAAATGTGTAAAAATTCTACTTCTATTATGCCGGAATACTGAAACGTTACTCAATTTTAAGTCATGCTTAAATATCGTGCCGTCTCTGTCATGTTACAAAGAATTTGTAGAGATAGAACTATACTATAATTGAGTAGCGTTTCAGTATTCCGACATTAGATTTCTCTAGTATATAAATCTATAGAAAATAGATAGATGACAAATATCTAGTTAGGTAATGTAGACTGTAGATAGTGATGGAATTGAAGGTTTAAGTTTGTTTAGCTGTAGAGATAATGTAACACTGTGACTCGAGGTATTGCGATCAAGTTACGGCATTTTAGTTGAACTTGAACACACAAAAAATTTCATCAAAATTGGTCCAGTCGTTTGAGAGAAGTTCAGTGACACACTCACAGAAGAATAATATATACAAAGATATAGATATATAGAATATAGATATTGAGTAGTGCAGGTACTGACGTCCGTCGGGGTGTTCCTCAGTGAGCGCGGTGGCGGTGGTGCCGGTGGCCTCGGCGTGCAGCGCGCGCGTGAGTATGGAGCGCGCGCGGGCCGCCTCGCTGGCTCGCAGCACCTGCGCGCCGCCCCCGCCGCGCGACAGCGACAGCGTCGTCAGCACGCACTCCATGTCTGGGGGGACCCGGGACCACTCAATGCAATGTACTTTCACATAACATCACCACTTTTATACACAGAACTGAACAGCCTAATTGGCCGAGTGGTCGCAAGTGCGACTGCCAGGCAAGAGGTCTCGGGTTCGTTTCCCGAGTCGGGCAATTGGGTTTTTAAAAATCTCAGTAGTAGCACGGAGTCTGGAAATGTACCCGGTATATGACAATAGACTCACCCCCTATTACCATCCATGTAATAATGGGACTCATAACATAAATAGTGAAAAGTGGGTATTCCATTGTACAGTGGCATTAAGTGTAGAAATGTGCACCTCTGCCTACCCCTTCGAGGATAAAAGGCGTGATGTTATATATAGACAGACGTGCACATTACGGCACTTAATGCCACTGTACTATGTAACACTCACGTTTCACTATTTACGTTAAAAATCGCATGTAATAGAGGGTGAGCTTATTGCCATATACCGGGCATACTTTCAAACATTGCCCAACCATAGAATTGAACTCGAGACACCTTGCCAGCACTCGCACTAGCGACCACTCAGCCAACTAGGCAATCAATAGTCAAATAGGAATATGTGGTTTTAAATACAGTGTTGAATGAGTCAGTAACAAACATGATAATAATAGGGTAGTTGCCAGGATAAGAAAATTAAAAATCGAATTAGTCCATCATGAAAAAATATTAGACACATATTTTTTTTTATTTTCTCGTATAAAATTTAAAAGTACAATACTTAAATAAAATGAAGTTAAGTTTAGGAGTGGAAGGTAGTTACGCCACTAAGTGCTTCGTTTTTTAGCACGCTGTGATGTCACACAACATTTTAAACCAATATATCGTCAAAAGCATTTAATTTTGTGAGAAAATAAATAATACGTGTCTAATGTTTTAAAATAATCTACCAGACGGACATCAAAATAAAATTTAGAAAACTACATACAAACACAATATACAAAAAATGTAGTTGGCACCTATAATTACTTATATACTGCTATATACCTGAGGATCCTAGGATTTATACTTACTTCGTGTCAAAACGCTATGTTTTATATACAAAACAGGTTAAGGGACTAGGCTTAAAAAAATTAGCCCGAAAGTACATAAATTGTCACACATTACACACATTGGCTGTTTCAATTTCCCTCGTGTGTCGCAATGCTACTTATTAATGTGAGCCCCCTGAGCATGGCTTGAAACGAATCGACTTACCTCGATACCCAGTTAGGTACGTGAATAACGTCCAGTTTCTATAACCTATCTATCTGTAGATTTGCTTACTAGAGATAGAATTTTGACACATTTTGTATGGAGCTCATTTCAATATTCTTTCTCTAGTAAGCAAATCTACAAATAGATAGGTTATAGAAACTGGGCGTAAGACGCGGAACATAATAAATAATTAATTTTCATACAAGTTTTCTACCTGTGACATCATAAAAGTCAGGCTTGTAAGTCTCGCCCGCCGGGTCCGCGGTCTTGTCCTGTGACAGCCAGCGTATCTTGATCTTGCGCGTAGTACGGTACACGTTTTGCATCGCTTGACACACGTAGAAGCCACCTTCAGCGTTGCGCACTGCTAAATATTCATTCCTGTTGATTGTAATACAAGGATTAGTATTTTGTGTTCAACAATCATACAACTTCATAGTTCAGTAAAAGGTAAACATTATTTTTTGTAAGATAAGTACCATGATGACCCTGTCTTTTCTCTTACATTGAAGCGCTTGCCAGTTATCACATAGCAAGGTAAAACACTATAATTATGATGTTTAAACATTCAATAATGGTATAATGGGTCAACTAGGGTTTGTCAAAGTCAAAGTCAAAATCATTTATTTCAATTAGACCAGGAAAGCACTTTTGAATGTGAACTAAATAAATTTAAAAGTGAAGCTAGTTGCTCATTCCAAGGTGTAGATTTCTATGGAGAAGAACGGGCAAGAAACTCCATAGGTCACTCTTAAATTTGAGAGGGGAATAGGAACAGAAAAGGGGTGAAACAATAATATGAAGATTTTCTCAATATCTATTCTTCCCACACGGTATAAGATTGAGTTATTCACTAAGAATTCGTTTTTAATGGAATAGGGAAAGCAAATGAGTAGACGGATCACCTGATCTGATAGTAATAGTCATAAGAACTTTGCTAATCATTTAGAGCTTTGGACCTACGGTAACCTAACTCACACTCTCACATTGGTTGGTTTACTAGAGCCGGCCAATCAGAGCGCCGAACAAACTCGATACAATTACGTTACGAATGCGATAGTTATTCGTGCTTGGCACTCTGTAATGAGCTACTTACTTGTAGAAGACGATAAGTTTATCATCATTAGGTTTGGTCGGCGTGGAGCGGCCAGCTGAAGCGGAGAGCTTGGTGGCCATCGCTAGCTCAGGAGTCGGAGACTGGTATAGCTGCACCTGGAAAATAATAGAATATTAGTTATAGACCCGCCATTTTGAAGTCCGGTCTAGTCTAACCACAAGTCCGGTTGAGATTGTATTTAGCTTCCTTTATTATTGTTTTTATTATACTTAGTGGCCATTCAATGTTGGAAGAATATTATAACAATTACCTCGTAAATGTCCGATTATGAAAAATCCATAAAAGTTGTTCATACAAAAGTAGCCTCTAAACATCGGAAATAAGGTGCATAATGGTGCAAGTGGAGAGCTGACCACTTGGATCTTGACCAGTTAAATGTAGTATAATGGACAATGCAACTTCGATGGAGCAATATCCATTATAACTATTGTCTATTTCCTATTAAGAATTTTCGTGTAATTAAGTTACTCAAAGCCCTAAGTGTAAGTATCAGATTTTCTAGTGTGAAGACTTAAGTGAATGACCTATTTCAGTACCTCTTTTGCAGGAATAACACTGATTTTTACACTTGACCCTAAGGTTGACTTGTAGAGAAAGCCATAAAGCTTTTAAGTTCGTCATGTATTTTATTATTATGTATAAATCAAAGTTTGAATAAATAAGAGGTTTATATTTTGCCCTAAACCAACCCCGTTTAAACAATTTTTTACCGAAAACAATACATTTCCCAGTAGACTCGAATCGACAGTCAGTTAATAAGTGAAGTGCAATTACTATTTACCTTCATTGGATGTACACTGTCCTATAACCTAGTTTATTCTAGGTATAGTCTAATAGTAACGAAATGCCCTACTTATTATTTTTAACTTTGTTATTGATTTCAGTTTTATTGCATTCTAATTTCTAACATAAATAATTGTTTTTAAAACTAGGTTACCATGTGTTTTTGATGCATTGACATTTTTCCTTAATAAGATACTACCTGATTGGTAGAAACCAGTTCATCTAAAACATATTTTAAAGCGTAATATAATTTTTAACAGCCATCTTTCGACACTTTACATAAGAACCAATCTTAATTAAAAAGACGTTGTTATCAATCACATTTTCGGTAAGTTTCGTCCAATTTTCAGTACTTGCAAAAATACACAACTCCGTATCGCGTCGAAGGTGGGCACATAATCCAAGGCATGAGTAAATCATTAAATTTTATCACGTAATAAATCTGTAATGGCACTTAAACTCTGTAATGTCCTACCTCCTTTACAGAATCATAGACATACTGCGTTAAGCCTGATCTTACACATTTTTTTTATTAATTATTATGTTAACGACTTACTAACGTAACTTTTTGACAAGGAACTCGACTTTCAAGCGATGCTAGAGGCTCATATTCATGAGCAACATTTCATTATGTTTTTTTTATAACACAAAGCTGAAGAATTTATTCGTTTGTTTGTTTGAACGCGGTAATCTCAGAAACTACTAGGCTGGATTGAAGAAAAATTTCTTCTTGTATTTATTTCGTAACGGCGCTGAAGATAGTTTTAAAATGTTTAAAATAAAATGTAGAGAATGTTTTCGTTTAAATTGCGACTGTTTTTTCACCCTATGCTTAAGTTTTTTATTTATTTAGGAGATAGTGTTGCAAACGACAACACATCGAATTATACAAAACCAATTTATCATGGTCTCACTGTGTCAACCCTCTTCGCACATGCGACGGTCAGTTTACACTGGTTATAATTATGTACAGCTTGATGTCGTGTAACCATAGAATCCCGACAAAATAGGGCCCTTAGAGTAGGTTAAACAATTTTGGACAAAACAGGAAGTTTAAACGGACGTGAATGGGGGAATCGTTAATTTAGTGAAACTTAGTATTTTATAATAACTATCGTGAGACATATTAAATTAAATAAAAATCGCGGGTTACTCACTTGAATATATTGAGATAAGCTCTACTGGTTTCGAACTACAGAGGGGTTCTTCCTTATAAGCAGCGTGCGCGGTCGCAGCGATGTCGCGCAGCCTACTGACTAGGCTGAACTTGTACGTGAGTAACCCGCGATTTTTAGTTAGACTTTAATATTTTTGATCAAATCTAAGTTCTTGTTGTTTTTTTTTAAAACATTGTCCCACTAGGATTTTTCCTGTAACGTGGGTGCGTTTACAAACATACAAATTCATATACACATGACACCCAGACCCGAAACAATAATTTGTGGATAACACAGTGTTGTTCCATGCGGAAATCGGCGACACGTTACCCAGCCTATACACCAACCGTGCAGTCAATTCTGCTTTAAAATAGTTAAATAAGAAACTAAGTATAAATTGATTTCAAAAACTAACAAAAATGTACTGTTTTGAAATAGCACATTTTATTGTTAGTGCAAAAACGCCCCTATTCAACCCCCATCACGGTATTATGAATAGTTTACAATAGAAACAGATTATTTAGCTTGATAGCAAGGAAAGCTTGTACTGAAGTCCAGTTACACCAACTTGTTGCTAGGGATGACGTCACCCTGTTGTTGTTTAGAAAACCTTTGTTTTGATACACTAGTAATATTGATTTACCTAAGTGACCTATTTACACAGTTTTATAGGAACTAGTTCATACGAATTACGCTGGTTTTACGTTGAGGTTACTATCGAATTAGGTAGTATTTGGATTGGATTATTTTTTACGCAGGCGACTCTATTCAAGGCTGCTTTTACGTTGCAAAAATGTTTTGCAGTAAAATGTGTATAAAAAAGTTATCTTGTTTTTTTCGTTTCATTGAACGCAATTTGCATTTCTTACGTGAAAAAAATATTTTAATTAAAATAAATTAAAAGATTTTCATTTTTTTTATACATCAAAGAAAGAATAAAGTCTTTTGTCTTTGCAAAAACATCATAAGCGTCTCCAAAAAAGTAGCAGAGTTGCGTTGTCTATGCCGCAATATAGCTAAGCCCCTAAACCTGCCCATAGAGCACCATAGAGCAGGGTAACGATCGAGCATTCATTCAAAGGTTTTAAGTTAATGAAGTAAATGTTTATGGATGTAAGCGACACTTTAACGTACAAAGATTATGGCGATCTTAGTGTAATGAGCGGGGCTTATGCGCAGCCATGCTGCTAAATAAAACAATATCGAACATTACTTTGATGGGACCACACCGATTGAATGAAAACAAAAAGATTGATTTCTGAAAAAGTATGATTTTAGTAATATGCATTATGTTGTGCTGTCAATCAAAAACTATTTAGTATGCAGGTAAAAAAATTAAAACTAACTATGATTCAGTAGAGTAAGTGTAACTAAGTACTTAAATAGGGTAAATTGTATGCTTTTAACGAAAGCCAAAACTCTTTTAGACAGACATTAGTCGGCTCAATAGCCGCCCAGTTACTGTTTCTGTATTGTACTAAATTTTTTACCTGCATACCAAACATCCTGGTTGGCTATCCTGACTGTGCATATTTTGAAAAATATTTTAAACAATTCCTTAAAACTTATCTTAACAATACTTTTCAGGGACTTTTAAAGTAAAGACTTTAATATTTTGTTCTAAGTTAGGATTAAGCTTTTAACTGCGGACAAAAACTGTTAAAGGCTAATTCTCCGCAAGCGTCGGTCACCGACAGAGCACCCAATGTGTTAATGTTAAATGTTGTTCTTAGATCGTGAAGTAAAAAATTGCTGTCATTGCAAAAAGTGATCAAAGTCAAAATCATTTTTTTTTTACACTTTATAGGTCGACGTTTGACCACCATCTCGCCTGATGGTAAGCGATGATGTGGCCGACCGACGATGGAGCACGCCTACCTATGAGCAAACTGTTCACTCGGGACTTGAAGACACCCAAGTCATATTTGACGGGCAAGGAATTTCATTCCTTAGCGGTTCGCATGAGGAAGCTTGACGCGAAACGCTTCGTGCGAATGGGTAGTATGTCCACCGTATAAGGGTGGCGCCCCGCCGTTCGTCTGGTGGTACGGTGGTGAAAAGGACTAGGGGGAATAAGTTTGTGCAATTCCCACGCACACTCACACTCATTTATTTCAATTAAACCAGGAAGACACTTTTGAACGTCAACAACAAAAATTTAGAAGTGATGCTAGTTGCTCATTCCAAGGTGTAGATTCCTATGGAGAAGAACGAGCAAGAAACTCCGTAGGTTACTTTTTTCAATCGGGCTTACAATACAATTCTAGTTACATAGTTTTGTTGATTCGATTGTGGGAGAACAATGCAACACCTAGATCCAGTCAAAGAGAATCAGATCGATTCACAATTATATTAATACTACTATCTACAACGATATTCAAACAATAAGGTTACTCAACCAATAAATGAGATAAAAGCTCTAGAATTCTAGAATATGATTAGGAATAACTTATGACTTATTATTGAAATAAGTGCTAAAGTTACGTATTTTGTTGTAAGCGAGTTAAATAGTTAAGTTAATAAATTCATTGGAGACTGGTTTAATTTTTGCAATGGAAACTAGGACATCGCATAGTGTTCTCAAAGATTAAGATATATATTTCCGTAGTTTTTATAGAGATGGTTTTCGAGTTTAGATTTAAAGGCATCTATGAATATAATTTTACGATGTTAATGGATTGCCAGTAGTGGATCGGATTTTAATAATCTTATATGTACTATTATTAAGTACATTGTTTGTTTGTGCACATTCGCGGTAATCTCGGGAACTACTGGACCGAATTTAAAAATTCTTTCTGTATTGGGTAGTCCATTTATCGAGGCAGGCTATAGGCTATAAAACATCACGCTACGATAAATAGGAGCCGAGCAGAGAGGGTGAAACTGCGCGGAAGTAGTTAGAACTTACACAGAAAACTGAAGAGTTTGTTTTGTCAAAGTCAAAATCATTTATTTCAATTAGACCAGAAAGGCACTCTTATATGTCAACAAAATTGAAGTGTTAAAAGTGAAGCTATTTGCTCATTCCAAGGTACAGATTACTATGGAGAAGAACGAGCAAGAAACTCCATAGACTACTCTTTTTCAAGTTACTCTTGTCTTGCACATGCTGAACTGGTCCCATTTCACGTCAGACTTGGGACATGAACATGTATCCATTAGTACCTACTAATAGAATAACACATCTGTACATGTCACTTGTTTTTAGCGTGAAATAAAAACTTTTTATTTGTTACTCTCTTTGTTTGAACGCGCTAAAAAAATCTCTTTAAATACTGGTCCTATCTGATTTTTTTTTTGTGTTCCATATCCATAGTGCATTTATCGAGCGAGGCGAACAGTAAGTTAACTCAAAATGCCTACTAAAGAATAAATCGTCACCTATAGTATAGTTAAGTTAATAAAAACCGAATTTAAAAAAATGCAGAAAAGATAAAAAAAAACAATAGAAAAAAAACGGCCTTTTCTCCAATTTCAAATGTAGACAAGTGTTATAGACATTGTATAAGCACTTCCGGTTGCTTGGACGAGCCGGTAAACAAGCGACGCGACGTAATGAGAACAACTTGTTCCGCTTAGCTAAACTAAACTACATTGCACGCCAATTAAGTTCAATTTACAATGAAAACTCTTACCAAAGGGTTGAAATTCAAATGTTAGAAGTTTATGAACGTTAGGTAAATGTTGTTTTTTTTTTTATTGTTTTTGACGAAGTTAGGTATTGCGTAATCGCAACTGCGTCATTACATACCTAGCGTTGGTATTGAAATATGTAGGTATACAATATTTTTAAGTTAAGTAAAAAATGTAAAAATTCGAAACTTGACATTTTTACTTTTTACTTTATCAAAATCTAATGACGGAAAATGCACTCAAAATAACTATAAAGAGACACATGCCAGCACAAGAAGCTACCCCAAGCTGAGAAAATTCTTCAACACATTGTCATCTCTATCACAAAGAATTAAAGTTGATAATGTATTACAGGAATTTAATGAATAGTATAGGTCACACTTGTACTGTGTTTTTTTTTTCAGAGTTGAAATATTCATGATAAACAAAATCATTATGGTGCTTAGTAAAATTATTATCTCTTAATTTTATACTTAGTAATAATTAATTAAGTGTAAGCAAGAAATCTTTGCATAAGAAAAAAAAATCCCTCTTATAAGACATCTAGGTTATCTAGAAGAGTTACTGCAAACTAAAGAAATACTTGATCTTATTGAAATATAATAGTAATAGTAATATAAATATTTAGTCCTGTATTTTTTTTATAAAATAATAATATAATGTTTAGTGACTTAGAACTCCCCCTTCATAAATAATAAAGAAATGAATGGAACAACAGAAAATCAAATCGAATCAGTTTTATATGAAAATGTGAGTTTAAAGCCATTCATTAAAGTTATTTTAATCAAAGTCATTCTGTTCAAGTTTAGTTTACTGTCTAAAATATGATGGTTTGTTTTTGTGTTTGTAATTATTATCTTCTTCCAACAAAGAAATAAATGATGTTTTAACAACAATAACATTATCTGTTTGTCGACCGACATAGACACATAACAGTTTAGGAACTTAGCATCAAATAAATAACATCAATCAAGTACCAACCTTAGTCCTATTCCTTTTCATTCTTGTATCTGGAGTGCTCTCTCCCTCTGCAGGCTTCTTGGCTGATGAAGGCCCATCATTGGACTTGCTGGGTGACGCCTGCCTCCTTTTGCGCATCGGTGGTGTCACTGTTGCCAACTTCATTGTCGACTTTGGCTTAGAGTCAGCTTTGGCAGGTTTAGCTTCAGATTTCTTATCCTCAGCTTTCTCCTCAACCTTCTCTTGTACTTTGTCAACCACTTCTTCCTTCTTAGGAGATTCAGATTTCTCAGGTTTGTCAGCGGCTACTTCTTCTTTCTTATCTTTATCTTCAGCAGAGTCTGCTGGCTTCTGTTCCACTTTGACTTCCTCTTTTTTCTCTTCTGGTTTTGCTTCAGGCACATTTTCCACTTTTGGACTTTCAGCTGCTGGAGAATCCTTTTTTACAGGAGTTGGTGCCTTATCTTGCACTTGATTGTCATTAGCAGACTCTGGAACTGGCTTACTGTCACTTTGTGTTGGTGCAACATCTGCAGCCGGGGCTGGTTTTAACTCTGATGGCTTTGATGGAGACTTCTCTGAAGGCTCGTTAGCTGTTGCCACTTTGGGTTGTACTGGACCATCAGTACTGGCAGTAGTTGTAGTGTCAGATTTTTGTGGTGTACTTGGTGAACTTGATGGCTTTTCAGGTGGTTTCGGTGTACTTGGTGAAGTCTTAGCGATATCCTGTTTGTCTTTGTTAGACTCAGGGTTCTGTGGTTTCAATGGAGCAGGAGCATTTGCACCAGACTTTGGAGAGTCAATAGTGCCATTGGCATGTCCAGTAGAATCTGGCTCACTCTTCTCAGGAGTTATGGTCAGAGCAAGAGCCTTGTCCTGGACGAGACTGAGAGGAGTGACTGGGTTGCTGCCTTTTGTGGGGCTGGCGGCCAAATTAGAGGGGCCGACGGAGTTCTGGGTGACATGCGAGAGGTTGCCATGGTGACTCATGTTCTGTGCCATTTGTGCCATGTTGGCAGACACCGGCGCCATGGGGGGCGGCGCGTGAGGTACTTGAGGCGCGGGCGCGTGATGCGTCAGGTTCTGGCCGACGAGGTTGTTGCCGGGGTGGTGCAGCGAGTTCTGAGCGCCCTGCGGGTGCCCTACGGTGTGGTTCGCAGTGGCCACGTTCCCCTTCGCGGGGCTCGCCTGTCCGCCCGGCTGCGGCACTCCCGGCTGGGGCAGCACCGGCTTTAAAGCAGAATTCATTTCAAACGCGTCTAAAACTCGCCTCCTGGCCGTACACAAGCTGAAACACAAAGTTAACCGGGTTTATAACACTGTTTTCGTAGCAGGTTAACACACCGCGATGTCTTTGACCCACAACAATAATTCATACATAATAAACGTATATGCAGTACGCGCGTAAGAACGCGGAGACGGGGACCGATCTGCCCGCCTAGCGAGTCCGCTTTCTACGTTGGCGCTAATGAACGGTCAATAGATATTGTTGAGAAGTTACCACTAGCTGTTAAATCGAGAGCAGCCCATGAAATAAGTCCTGTGTGGCGGCCCGCGGCAGAGATAGCCGCAAAAAATATGCGTTGCTATAGTCAAGAAACTTCCGCAAGATATGACCCGCCGTTAGCGAAGTCTACGTGATGTCACTGTCTTTTTCAATCACTATGAACGTACACTTGATCTCACTCGCGAATATGTAATTCCATGATTTATTCACACTTTTTACCACGAATTAGCATTCACTTTACTTTAGACCAAGTACATAATAGGCACAGTAGTTGCAGAGATGGCGTCGGCATAACGCGCATGCGCCACCCTCTTGTACTCTCGTCCAATGAAATCCCGTGACGAAACGAAGCCTAAACGAATTTTTACGAGCATGCTATCTCTTTCCGGTTTACGTGATTTTCATAAGTCTATTTCGGTTTTGTCAATGTCGCGTTTGGATACGTTCGTATAATTTTAAAATTATTGTTTTAAAATATTTTGTTGGTAAAAGTTTGAAAAACGGTTTTTTTATAAATCTTCTTTAAATTCATTTTGGTCAAAGCAGGTCATGTAATAGTTTTTCATATTGTCTAAGGTGGTTTGAAGCTCATATTCCTTGGCTCATATTTAAAAAGCCATATTAACGATTTACATACAATATTGAACTTTTTATAAATGATGTTTCATCATTGCATTGCATTGCATTAATTTTGCATCAGTATTTTGCACTTAGGTCAAATTCGAGGATGGTGGTTATTTGTCTAGCTTTGCTGTGTTTTTGTTTTAGATAATATAAACATAGACCAAGCACGTTCTTGATATTAAAGATCAGTCAGAAGGAAGTGTAACAAAAGGAGTTGCTTTATAACTTTTATAAAAGATCATGATTGAAGTCATTTTTTTCGAGGTGACATGACAATAAAATGAAGGAAGTGATACGGCAAAATATTCTAGTTTAAGTTAAAAATATGGAATATCAGAAAAAAAATTAGTTGGGCTAATAAATTCACTGACAAAATGCTATTATGAACTTAGTATATTTAGGAAGTTTAAGCTTAGTATATATTTAATAAGTGTTTTTCGTACTTATTTACGTACCTATCCGTTTTTTCGCCCAATATAAAATTTTAATGCATTCGGGCATACAAGCGCGGAAACGCACAATATGCTCAAAATGTCAACTTTTTAATGTCAAAGTTGTGGAATGGAACGTGCCCAGACATTTTTAATTTCTTTCATTGTCCCATGTGCATTATTTATGAAAATCAATTTAAATTGAATTGATTTGTAGTTTTGTGACAGAAATTATTATAAAATACTAGTAACGCGAAAAATAATCCAATATGGTAAGTGTGTGGTGTAATAGTATTAGTTTGCACCCGTTTAGTTATTCGGAAAAACTTAGGTTGCGGTGAAGAGACACATTTTGTGTTTTTTGCAAGCTTATCATTTAAATTGATGACTACACAGCTTTGTTCTTTTATCGAGTGTGTATTTAAAAGTATTCTGCAACGCGTGTTATCAAAAATATCGACTAAAACGAAGCTCTGAGGACGTCTGTATAAGTAGAATATTCGTTGTTTCAGGATGTTTTATCGCGACCCGCTGAAGAGTTTGGCAATGATGAAACTTTGGAGCGTTTATGGGCTGCGAAAGCTATGGAGCACAGTGATATATACTTCAATGTTAGTACTTTATTAATTAGTGGTGTGACCTGAATTTAATTAGAAAGCTGGCAACTGAAACTTTTTTCTGATATGAATGTTTTGTAATACATGATTGTAATAAGATACAAATTTATCCTTTCCAACCAAGTTGGAGAACTCTCTGTAAATTATAAAAGAGATACCTACTTGCATTATTTTTTTTGTATAATATCATTTTTATATTATTAAATAAATTAATTTATTTTTCGAACACCTATTTTCAGATGCTCTGTTCCGTGGACACCAGATGGCTGCAGTTGACTCCAAATGATGATCTAATATACACACACTTCAAACAAGACTTCCCAGATATGGATGTGTCCTATGTCAATGAAAATGAAATTAAGAACAGCACAAACAAAGCCAAGTGGAGAATATTTTGTGAAAAGTTTAAAAACATTGTGGAAGACTACAGCTTTGGTACTCTCATGAGAGCTGATGCTAAGGGAGACTATTCTGAAATGAATACAATGCTTGTTCCTAGAGTACAGTTTTATGCCATAGAAATTGCAAGGAACAGAGAGAACCTGAACAATGAAGTAAAGAAAAGATTCAAGTGTATGGCAAAACCCAACATAGAGGCTCAAGAACACTCCAGCAAGATCGCCACATAAAAATATTACAGCAAACAGGCTAGTTTTGACAAGGAAAGTTTGTTTTTAAATCATTTGAAATCGAAAAAGGCAGTAACTGTAAACTGCCTCTTTGGGAGTGATGAGAATTAATATTAATGCCTACTCTGTAGGAATCGAAGACTTGTGATATTTATGCATTAATTGAAGTAAAATTATTTGTATATTTTTAATAGTAATGGCAATAAAATCTGAGAGTATGTCTTTGTAAACTATCTCTTGTGAGGAACTAATTTGATCATTTGTATACTGAATGTAACATTTTCTTTTGTACTTACTAACATAGCAGCTACTTATATACTTTTTGTAAGAAATAATGGTAATTTTTATTCTGTGTAGTTGATTCTGTCATGACTGGTAACTCTTCTTGTATAAACTAGCCTAATTTTTGAAGACCTAAGCATTCTCAAATAATGATCAATGTTCATGTAGCATGTACTCTCTCTTAATACACTTACATAATTACTGGCCAAATATACTAGCTCTAGATATTAGCCACCGTCCCACAAGTGACTATAATAATATGTACTCAATTTTGCCTGCTTCTCAATTTAAACAGTATGCATAGAATAACATAATCAGTAATACATTTACCTAACTAAGTGCATGTTTAGATTTTAAATATTTTTACAAAAACAACTTTTAATGTCTACATAATAAGATAAAAGGCGGGCCTTTCTGTTATATTGAAACTTGTTTTTGTAAAAATGTACACCTACCGATTAGTAAGTTGTGATTGTCTTAATTGAAAAATGAATGAGGTGCTCTATTGCTCATACATTTTTTATATTAAAATTTATATACTATCGTAATTATAAAATGTGTGGTTTGATTTACATCTTAAGGTGATATAAATTGAAAGCGAAAAAGCGACAGATAACTAGCCCCTTGATGGTAAGCAGTTACCGCAGTTTACTCTAGTAGCAGTTGCAGTTATTGCAACACTAGATGCAACAAAACTGCGTTGTCGATCACGTAAGACATTCCGCCGGGGTATTCAAGCCAGAACCCTCCCCACTTACAGATGTAACACATCAAGTATGCGAGGGGGACTGGGATGCGGTCTCCTTCTTTTGCGAAGCAGTTATGCTAGCTAAGGAGGAGACGGGACGCGTGAGGCAGCGAAGCGCTGCCTCCTCACAACCCAGCCATCGCGAAGGACACACCGTGCGTCGGGGATCGCGGGACGATCTCCGGCCAACGTAAGCGCGGGACTGCGGACGGCGAGCATGGGTGGCTCCCCGTCCGACCAGAAACAGACTCGAGCGTACGGCGCGTCGCGTTCCGCGCGCGCCTCTAAGAGCTATCAGACCACCATAGATGGGACCCAACAGGGCCGATGCCGATTCGAAGTCGCGGAGAACCTAACGGGTTACTGGGACTCCGGCTCGACGTGCAGGAGAAGGAACGGGCGGTTTTTAGTCAGTAAGAGTCTGACGCTCCCTCCCGCCTCACCTAGGCGGGAGCAGTCATTCGATGATTTTCCCCCCTTAAAAAAAAAAATAAAAAAAAAACACATCAAGTATCGTGTCACTTCTTCCTGCTATACTTCCACATTGAAACTGACCCATTCAAATAACGAACAGCAGGCTTTCTTATGTTATAGTGGTGCATTGTTGAGTTTGATTCTGTTTTTCCTACGTAGCGCATACCCCTACATGTGCAAATGGATTTTACGACTTCATCGTTGGTCAAATGGTCACTTGCGACTGTAGAGCAAGGTGTCACTGTTTCGTGTTTGGTTTATCGACAATTTCTCAGCAATAGCACGGAGTCTGTCTAGCATAAGGCAATACTCACCCTGTCTATTATCGAACAAGCAGCAAAGTAGCTGGTGATGAAAAATGGTAGCACATAGTTTTGTAAGCCTAGTCTTTTTCGAGGGTAAGAGTTATTATAACTACGTTATTCATTATTTCTTTCATCCTGCTTATAAGCCCAAATAAACTGAATCAGTCCCTTGTAGTTAGTAGTGTTACGATCTAGGCTATAATGAGTTTTTAAATTTCTATGAACTCCGGCAGACTTAGGAACTTGGAGGATGGTTTTCAACAGTAGTCTTACTTTTTCCTAATAAACATGGGATTGCTAATTACTAATTTCTCGGGTTTGTTCGCCCGGGAAGACAAGAGTGACGAGTTGGAAGATAGACTAGTCATTCGCCTAAAAGGAAATTGACAAAATAACGAAGTATTTAGATAGGTTCTACATTTAACGAGAAATGAAATAAAAGACATCATTTAGGAGTTTTTCTTTTTTATTTGTCTTAAAATCTATATTTACGAGGTCTCCATAGCGGTGGCGGTTTCCTCAGTGTATTTGCCCTTGTCTTTGCCGAGGGCGGCCAGCCTGCCCTTCGCTCTGCGGTCGAGGATCGATTTACGGTCCTTGTTCATCTTTAGTTTGACGATCACGCACTAGAAGAAAAAGTAACATTTTATGATTAGATTGAAGGTAGAAAGAAAGTTGTTGGATTTAGTTTTTTGGGTAATCAGAGCCATGGAAGTGTTTCAGCAGAACCCGTGCCCCTGCATACATCGCTAGGCTTCAGTATGTCATGAAGGCACGGTCTCAGGTCAGTGTTATCATCATTGGAAGTAAATGGGACCATCTTGCTAATAATGTACAAGAAATCAAGATGTTAAAATGAGATGCATATTATGTACTCTAAACCAGTACAAAGGTCATAATAATTAAGGTATCAAAATTAAACACTAAATGTTTCTGAAACATTACAGCTTAAAATCATTAACTCGTCGAGTACCGTATTTATAGACACAATTAAAGAACAATAGGTTGCGGTCACCGGTGACCGCTTGGTGTTTGACAGTTTAATATGTATTACAGAGTAAAAAGATAAACCTTTGTTATGATCAGTTTTACCTAGTTTAAAAAATAAAACTATAATAAATAAACTAAATTATAACTAATGTTTTACATACCTTTGAAGGGTGGATGCCGACATATGCACTGGCACCGTTAGCCTTCTCACGCTGGATCCTCTCAATGTAGACGACAAACTTCTTACGGTACACCTGCACTACTTTGCCGACTTGCTGGCCTTTGTAGTGACCACGGACAACCTAAAACATAGTACACATGTTCAGTATTATGTACTATTACAAAGGAAAACAATTATAACCTAGGAGTTATCTATTGTGAAGTGTTCTTAGAGTCAGCTCAAGAGTAATAAAGTTGTAATTCATAAACTTTGTAAATAAATACCAACCCTAAGTAATTTGGCAGCGTTTGATCAAAATTTGCTCTTTGCTAAAGTTAACTATGCTGGTCAATGTGCTTTGCTGTCAGCCACATCTGTAAGGACCAGAATTATCTTACTGTTTAGCTCAGAGGAGCTCATTTACATTTAAGATTCTATTTTTGAACTTACAATCTAAGGTTAGATTGATTCATCACAAAGGCAATTTAGCAGCAGTTGTAAAATTTGACTCAAAACAAGTCTGATTGTGGTGACATGATTGATATTATTTGATAAACTGATTTGCTATTCTAAAGAGCAACACTATTGTGAGAGTGCTTCAAGTACTAATAAACTATGTTTTCACGCTACACTATCTAAATTCTATGTATGTTGTGCAAACAATCAGAGCCTTAGTTCCACCATGGCACAGACTAGCTGGCCGCGCCGAGGACTCGTAAGAGAAAACCTCAAACTCGTCCGTAGCACGACTGCAATCATCTGTGGTCTAAGAATGGTTTATTCTTCATCATATTGATTTGCACATACAAACATAACCTACAAAGTGTATACACGTTAAACTAAAGGTTCTAAACTCACCTGAACTTCATCGTCTTTACGGATTGGCATAGACTTTACGTTGAACTTCTGTCTTAACTCCTTGGACAGAGGCGCAGACATAAGCACTCGTCTGATGTGAGAAGGAGCGCTGAAGTGCCTCTTCCTGTTTTTCCTCCTGGAGGATGTGACGAGCTTATTGTACTTCATTCTGACGCTCTTCACTGAAAACACAGAATACCACGTTTTAACTTCACAGTTAGAAATGTTTAGGTTACTGTTCCGTGCATGCTAAATGTCAAGTTGCCGCGGCGAATATTTTGATAAACAACAAGAATTAAAATGAAAATATCCATCGTTTGTGGTGTGGAATATATTGAAAATTTATAATATAACATTTTTAGTCACATAAATATGAACAAATACAAGATTTTCACGGATTAAACAACGTACCCTAAACAACTCGGCAAAGAACCGAAATAAAAAGAAATTATACTAGTGTTGCCAATTTCACAAACATAAAACTTGCTGTCAAAATGTGAAACTGTCACAACATTTTTAAATTCGACGACACTTATTATATTTTTTCACTATCTATAAAATAATATGATTGCTAATAATAAAAAGGGCAGTAATGAACAAATTAGAGATCTTATTTTCAATTATCTGGCTAAAACAATTTATTTTGTTTTTAATTATTTGGCAACTCTGGCTTGCTTCAAAAGATTGTAGTTTCTTTTTACGCAGTAGACGTAAACAAGTGATAATCAGGAATGAAAAATGTTTGATAAGATTTATGATACAAAACGGGTAATTTGAGGGAGGTAAACCTAAGTTTAAAATTTAAAAATTTAAAAGTCTCAAAAAAATTATGTTTGGTAATTCTATACTTGGGTTCGATTGTTTCATAAAGTAGCTGTTTAGGACTATTTAAAACTGCTAAATCCAGTTTCTTTGTAACATACTTATTTGTCCATAAAATGCGAATTACTTAATTATTAAGGTTCAAATAAAACAACAATAATATCTAAATAATTTTCTCAACAAGTTATCAATGGCCTTGTTCCGTAAAAAACAAAATAATGACTCGAATAATTAGTACTCGAACCATTTCATCTAAGGAGTTGTGTATGACCTACATGTCGCTTTTATTTGCAAATTAGAAATAATTTAATTTTAACTAGCTTCTGCCAGCGGCTTCGCCCGCGATCCCAGGGGTAAAATGCCTATTATATACTTCAAACCATAATCTACCTCTGTTCCGAATTTCATTCCAGTCCCTTCAGTCGTTTTAATATGACTGAGTAACAAACATACACATAAACTCACATATTTTCATTTATAATATCGAGTCAAGCTAATTTCAACCATTGGCCTTTCAGTTACAGCGTAAAGTCTATGAATGAGTATTGTAAACGTTAGAGTAGACAAATACAATCAGAAATCACCGAATTGCTCAGCTATCGAGAGTTTCACGTGTTATTGTGAGTCAACCATAAAAGATAGACATATGCTGTCGAGGAATATTTTTTATATAATTTTAAGGAGAATATTTTTGTCATACATGATTTCTATGTAGCTTTAACCTATAAGCCTGCACACGTGACGGAAGCTTAAAAAATGGAGTAACTTCTCCCGTTTTTCCAATATTTCCCTTTACTGCTCTGCTCCTATTGATCGTAGCGCAATGAAAAGTATACTATAACCTGCCCAGGAGTATGAAGTATAATTGTGCCAAATTTCGTTAAAATCCGTCGAGTAGTTTTTGTTTCCATAACGAACATACAGACAGACAGACAGACAGACAAAAATTTAACTGATTGCATTTTTGGCATCAGTAGCGATCTCTAACCACCCCTTGATAGTTATTTTTTAAATATATCTTATGTACAGAATTGACCTCTCTACAGATTTATTATAAGTATAGATATATGTCTTTAATCTTTTGAATTCTCTTTTGAAACTTATATATAAATACGTTTAGCGCCATCTTTTGGTAAACGTAGAGTATTACTTCCGACTGTTTGCTTTATTTCTGATTATTTTAAGGGATCCAACGGCAAACTATTAGGCGTATTATCTATCTGAGCCCTGAGCATCATATTCTAGCCGCGCTGCCCATAACACTAGAGGAGTTACAAGTGCATTGCCTGCCTTTGGGGGAAGGTGAGGGCCCCACAACACAGTATCTTTCACCTTAGTATTTAATGCCTAATGACGGAGTCTTGCTACGCAGCGCAGGCTATCTACTATAAGTATTGTATGTAGATATTGTTATCTATGCTACCTACTCGTAGGGTGCGCGACATATCGCCGCGACTGCGCACGCTGCTCATGAGGAAGTGTCCCTCTGTGACTCGAAACTAGTAGAGCTTTTCTCAATGTATTTACATGAGTATTTGACTCGTCATTTTCAGTTAATTCAGTTCAATATGTGTCATATGTTATGTTACCTCATGCTATCATGATAGTGACTATAAAAAATAGATTTTTTTTCTCTATAGTACAAATATTCGGTGTCATCTTTTTGAGACTCAGTTGTGTTTACCTATGATTTTTGTTTTATGGCATAGGTCGGCAAAGAGTCACCGGATTCGGATTTTTATTTTTGACTAGCTACTTCCACGCGGTTTCACACGCTCTGTTCAACTCCTATTGGTCGCAGCGTGATGTTTTATAGCCTATAACCATCCTCGATAAATGCGCTATCCAACTCAAAAAGAATTTTTCAAATCAGACCTGTAGTTACGGAGATTAGCGCGTTTAAATAAACAAACAAAAAAACAAACTCTTCCGCTTTATATAATAGTATAAGATAAGATTATATAATAGTATAAGATATAAGATAAGATATAGACTACTTCGTATTACCTCGTATACACTACCACCAAAGGTAACTGACGAGCAAGCGGCCCCACCTCTGATTCGATTCCCGAGTTGGCCTAAGTACTTATTAGTGTGTGTTGTTGTATGTAGGTAAGTATTGTTTGTTTTCCGTTTCTAAATAATAGTACGAAATCAAAAAGACTGTTGTCAGAAGTGGGATACGAACCCACGCCCACAGAAGTGGACTGCGACCTGAACGCAGCGCCTTAGACCGCTCGGCCATCCTGACTATATACACTTTTTCTGAATTTAATGTCTATTGAAGAACATATAAGTAGGTACTAGCTGGGGGGTAGATATACACCGTGAAATTTATTTCGTTTTTTTCGCAAACTCAAATGGTTCTGTTTTGATTATATAACAGTTTTACA